CTTCAGATATTTGATTCATTAAAACGTTTGACTATTTTATGGTTAGACGGAAACCTATTGACCGGTTTGCCTAATGATGTCTTTTCTAGTCTACAGAATTTGGAAACTTTGTAAGTCTTAATATTTTAATTATACAATAAATATAATATTAGAAAGTTTTATAACAATGTCTTTATAGGTCTTTATCTAGAAATCAGATACAATATGTGTCGGAAGATATATTCTGGGGACTCGACTCCGTCAGATCGATGTGAGTCTAGTGTGTTGTCTCTGATTTATACATTTATATCGTATTATAGACATAGAAACTTACGCAAACATTCACTACAATCCTATACTAATATCACAAATAGAATCACTAATTAAACTAATTATCCTATACTAATAATCACTAATCATCCTATACTAATATCACAAATAAAATCACTAACTAAATATCACTAATTTACAAATAGAAAAACAATATTTAGGATTATAATCTTCTGAAATGATCTAAAATTTAGATTCTAAATGCTACTATAAATAAATATTTTAGCTTAAAACTATATGTTTTGAATTGTGTTGGAATTTTATTTGGTAACTTATTAATAATTTTATTCCTACTTATTTTAATTAATTAATATACATAACAATTTGTTTACTATAATGATAATAATTATACTGGTATTAAGTACTTAAACAATAATAAGCAGAAAACATGTTAGCTATTATACAGCTATGTTCTACAAAGTTTTATTAATTATTATTTATACATTTATATCGGTTAATAAATGCAATATGAATTGTATTACTTATTTAATGTGATTTCTAGTAGACTTATTTGACAATAATTTAATAATAACTGTTACATTGATGTCATTTAATATACAGATCATTGGCAGCAAACTCCATGTCATATGTAGGAGAGGGCACATTCGGTGACATAAAATCATTATTTAAGCTGTATGTACCGTAAAACATTGCATACATTCAATTCAATTCAGTTTAATATAAATGGAAATATAGTATACTTTTATTTTTTTTACCAAATTCTTGTAGTGATTTAAGCAATAATCAAATCCATACGTTTGGTCCAAATTCATTCGCAAAGCTTTATAACATTGAATCGCTGTAAGACAATCATATATAAGTACAATATTAATCTTGTATAAAAATAAATGAGATGTATTTCCCTCCGATAAACTCCCAGTGATCTCAGAAGGAATCCATTCCGTAAGTTTCCCACAGGAATATTCGACAACTTGACTTCACTCACACACATGTAAGCCATTGTAACATTGTTTGCCATTTATTATATTATTTATTTTTATGATATCTATTATTGAATTCTTATCAGTTAATTGATCTCGATTTTATACAATAGGAGAAAAATGTGCTTAATTTTTTTATGTCAGAATTTTTAATTAAAAAAATATTTTATTTATTGATTATATTCATGTTATTTAGTAATTTATATTTTAGAATTCAATTCATTTTTTGCTTAATATAGGATTCATAATCTAATAAAAATATTTTATCATATTTTTCACTCAAATACTATAATAATTTTATTTAGAAATTCAATTTAATGTTTACTTATATTACTTGAAACTTAAATAACACAAAGGGTCTAGAATTTTATACCTATATTATTGAAATATTCAATTCAATTTTCAATTTAATTTATTTCATTTTATTCAAATATTGTACAAGTTAGTATATTTTACCGTTTTATTCACAACATTAATACTCTACTATAAATCAATTGTGTATTTCTTGTGGACAGTTATTTCGATGACTTTAAGCTATGCTCGTATGCAATGCACGTCAGAATATGTGAGCCCAGAAGCGATGGGATCAGTAGTTTCCAACACCTGTTGGATAACGTGGTGCTCAGAGTGAGCGTATGGATTGTGGCACTGGTAGCCTGTGGTGGAAATCTATTCGTACTAATTGGCAGAATGATGATGCATGAGATGAATGAAGTATGAGTTCCCCGGCCTTTCCCTACCAGTAACCCACTGTACAATCAATACACAAATCAACACGAAATTACAATAAAAATAATTATTAAACTGATGATTAATAAATATATAAAATTACAAAAATTAAATTCAGTTATATTTTTCCAATAAGAATTCATTTATTTATTGCCATTTTATTTTGAGCCAAAAACAAAATAACATAAAAAGTTTTCCATTGATTTGTGAATTGAGAAATCAATTCCTAAAGTTTTTTGTTGAGTACCAATTGAAACCATTGAGTCCAACCCCTCATGTATATTACCCACGTATAGGTGCACTCGTTTTTCATCAAGAACCTGGCACTGGCCGACCTACTCATGAGTTTATACCTATTCATAATCGCATACCACGACAACCTCTTCAGAGGCGAATACATTAGACATGAGGAACGGTGGAGAGGGAGCTGGGAGTGCAACCTGTGTGGCCTACTCAGCACCATCAGNGTGTGGCCTACTCAGCACCATCAGCAGCGAGGCCTCGGTGTTCACACTAACCATCATTACGATCGACAGATATCTATCGGTTTTGTATCCGTTTAGTCTTAAACGGCGCACAAAAACCTTTGCCATGTTATCGATGGGCGCCGTATGGATTGTGGCAATACTATTGGCTATCTTACCACTTCTGGACAGTCAGATATTCGGGGATGAGTTCTATGGGAGTAATGGTGTCTGTCTGGCACTTCAGATACACGACCCGTACAGCAAGGGTTGGGAGTATTCGTTATTCTTGTTCTGTGGCATCAATTCTGTAGCGTTTGCTTTCATTACAGTAAGTATTTTGCGATTATGTATTGTATTTCATTTGATCCAATGGTCTGTTTGCTCGCAAAGTACGCCTACATTAGTATGTCGTCAACGATCACGAGCTCTGCCGTCGGTTTGCGGACAACACAACAAAAACAGGACCGAAATATCGCCAAAAGATGCGGTTTTATTGTGGCCACAGATTGCTTGTGTTGGATGCCTATTGTGGTGATCAAAGTGCTGGCACTGGCGGGTATGACTCGTTTGCTGAGACATCATAAACCTTAATAATATAGAGAATATTCTGTGATTTATTCATCTTATAGGTGTTCCCATCAATGACTCACTTTACGCAGTGATCGCCATATTCTTACTGCCCGTCAATTCTGGTAAGAAATTTGATTTTTATAAAGTTATACAGAATTCTGTAATGAGTTCATTGGCACTAACTTTGTATGATATGCTAATCCTATGTCCATCACCATTGGGTATCAGCTTTAAACCCAGTGCTCTACACACTGACCACAAAGCTATTCAAACAACACTTCTCCAAAATAATGACATACAGTCTGCGTCTATTTGTATGATATGCTAATCCTATGTCCATCACCATTGGGTATCAGCTTTAAACCCAGTGCTCTACACACTGACCACAAAGCTATTCAAACAACACTTCTCCAAAATAATGACATACAGTCTGCGTCTGCACCGCAACGGATCCACAGGAACGGGAGGTGACCAGCATTCGGGTACTTCTTATTCTACGATTATAACGCATTCAAGGAATACCTGCAAACGGTCAGTGCTGACCATCTGCTCAGAAGTAAGTCCGAGTAGGCGTCGCCAACCATACCATAACCCAAACCAATCACTGAATTCAACTCACGATTAATACAACTATCGAAACGATAATAGTTTTGAAAACCTAAAGAATACTTAAGTTTCTTATAATTACACACAACTTATGATGAAATTTAAGTATTTTTTGGGCACTTTATATGAAGTTTGTCTTCACATTCAATACCACTTTCACAGAGCACTCGGACTTTAGACTAATAGCACGTTTGTCATACAATTAAAGTGTGTTTCATTTGCATGTGTTTTGCCATTAATTCAATTGCCATGTATTGTATTGTGTCTATGCTTTGCACGGCTTTCCATGTATTGCACTGAATCTGTTGATTGCATTTTGAGATTACCAGTGATTTTTGAAACACTTTTAATGTTATACCTCTTGTGGTGACAGACAGACACGGAAGCCGTACAGACAGACAGAGCGCGAAGTACTACGACTCCGAACCGCCAGACATTTGCTTTGATGCCAATCAAGACAATGAGTTCTTCGGATTCCGATCCACACAAACAGACCGACAGTTTCCTATGAGTCCGATGGCCAGCGCCCGACCCTTGAGCCGACACACGAGTCTTCATATCTCTGACTACGGGATCAGAAAACTGAAGACTTATAGGAGAGACAGACAGACGACCGCTAAACACATCAACGAAACTCATTTGGATCACAGAATTCATGATAAAATGTTTTTTATGTAAAATATAACGAGAATTAAATTATGATTTATATATATTTGCTGTAAATTAATGTAAATTATAGTGTGAAGTGATGTACTGTTTAATGAATTAAATGTGTATAAAATGCCCAAAAAGTGTGTATATTTTGGTGACAGCCTATGCGGACAACACTACAGCTATTCTCGTATGAAATATATGACAGAATCCATGCATTACTTCGTTCGCCCGTATTTTAGATTCAAATAGTACTGAAGTACTGTTTCTATGGTTTCCGTATATCATGTAAAAACATCACAAAACCATATTTTGTGTTAGAAAATTTTGTTAATTTGTAAATTTTACCACAGATTTTATGATTTAATTTTTATAAATAAGATTTAATAATGAATGACAAGAATGTGTTGATGAGCGCCGGTCTATACATAGACGAGTCCAACAGAATCCGTATAATAGATCCGGAATTGTCTGATAAGACCATTGAGTTGAAGAATGAAAGCACAGAATTCACTGAAAGTAATCAAAGAATGTGTTGATGAGCGCCGGTCTATACATAGACGAGTCCAACAGAATCCGTATAATAGATCCGGAATTGTCTGATAAGACCATTGAGTTGAAGAATGAAAGCACAGAATTCACTGAAAGTAATCAGTAGTTCATGTTTTTCATGAAATTTTATAATTTTAATAAATAATTATCATTTCATATGTAAAATAATTTCAGAGACACAACAGTTCCAGAAAATTGTCGATAATTTTGTGACAATAATTGAAGATTTGGCTCAAAGAGTGGAAAAGGAGAAAATTAAAGTAAGTTAACTATGGGGTGTCACTCGCTGTACAACTCTTATAAATTTAAAACCTGCATGATTATATAGTTTAACCATGTTAAATTAAGAATATCGCGGTCCGGTAATCTATGTGAAGGTGGTATGGTCATAATCCAGTGGTCAAGTTTCCGATATTCCTATAACGCTCTATACAAACTCAATAGATATTTGATGTGAATTCATACATTATTTTAAGACTCACTTTTATAGTATGAGTAATGTAAAAAAGTGAATAATGCATATAAAAACTTTGAAAATTGTGCGATTATCGGAAAATTGACCACTGGATTATGACCATACCACCTTCACATAGATTACCGGACCGCGATATTCTTAATTTAACATGGTTAAACTATATAATCATGCAGGTTCTAATTTAATAAGAGTTGTACAGCGAGTGACACCCCATTGTAAGTTAATGTTTAAATCTTTATATAGATTACTGTATATAAACTAATTACATTTTAAAATAGTTTTTATATTAAATTGTAGTGCTAAAATTATATTTAAAGTTCTTCAAACATTGGTAAATTAATTTTTAAATAAAACATTTCATATCATAATCATTGATCATTTCATAATAAATAATTTCAAATCAAAATTGCAAAACAAATATTTTGTATTACTTGAGTACATATCACTGATATCAATAGAAATTAGCTATAAAATAATAATAAGCTATAAAAACCTGATCGGATCAGCAGTTGCGGGCACTTTGGGCGGCAATAACGCCCACTCGGCTAACATTGTGGCCGCCGTTTATATAGCATGTGGACAGGTATGTGTTGATTGTTTTAGTAAAATAAACTAATATTAAATATTTTTAATCCTAATAGGACCCTGCATTGCATAACACTGATGAAAGTGATTGGTAATGATCTGCACGTGTCGTGTACGATGCCGTCCATTGAAGTGGGGACTATAGGCGGGGGAACTGTACTCCAGCCACAGGGGGCTTGTCTTGAGGTTAATAACGTATGATTTTAAAATAAATAGCAATTTATAAATTAAATAAATATATTATATGTATAGCTATTGGGAGTGAGGGGTGCGTCTGATATAGCGGGCTGTAATGCGAGTGAATTGGCGGCCATAGTGTGCGCCACTGTATTGGCCGCTGAACTCTCGGCAATGTCTGCCCTATCGGCCGGACATTTGGTCCGTTCGCATATGAAACACAACAGATTAAAAATTAATTAGCTTTAAACTAGATTCTAATTTATTTGCAAAGTACATTAAACTTATATTAATTTTTAGATTAATCTAAAACAGATTTATTATTTCAATTATATACCTTTAATAAAATATTTTTCTAATATTTTTGCTAATTTAAATGAACTTTTTTGAAATGATAATTTATTACACTAAAATATAAATGACACCTTCATTACATTTTTTGTTTAAGATATTATAACACTTTTAATTTATGTTACTGATTGAATTCGTATCACTGACACATGTTCATAAATCTGTAATAATTATTAACATTGTTATATCCGGGTAATATGTCATCAATAAAACCATCCATAGAAATGTTGAATTTGATGTTTCAGTTCCAGCTATGTATAGAAAATCTGTTGAGTTTTGAATGCAGAAAATATTTTTTAAATACCTAAAAACAAATCCAACATTACGCTGGTCAGATTTTCATCCGTATAATACTGTGCCGACTCCCTGTTCTCAATAATGGCCTCCCGTTTAGAGCCAATGAGTACATCACAAAAGTCTCGACTCGTGATCTTATCGTATGTTTTCTCATGTGATTTGTATATATTTATCGTATAGTCTAATAGGATTAGCATATCATACAAAGTTAGTGCCAATGAACTCATTACAGAATTCTGTATAACTTTATAAAAATCAAATTTCTTACCAGAATTGACGGGCAGTAAGAATATGGCGATCACTGCGTAAAGCGAGTCATTGATGGGAACACCTATAAGATGAATAAATCACAGAATATTCTCTATATTATTAAGGTTTATGATGTCTCAGCAAACGAGTTATACCCGCCAGTGCCAGCACTTTGATCACCACAATAGGCATCCAACACAAGCAATCTGTGGCCACAATAAAACCGCATCTTTTGGCGATATTTCGGTCCTGTTTTTGCTGTGTTGTCCGCAAACCGACGGCAGAGCTCGTGATCGTCGACGACATACTAATGTAGGCGTACTTTGCGAGCAAACAGACCATTGAATCAAATAAAATACAGTACATAATCGCAAAATACTTACTGTAATGAAAGCAAACGCTACAGAATTGATGCCACAGAACAAGAATAACGAATACTCCCAACCCTTGCTGTACGGGTCGTGTATCTGAAGCGCCAGACAGACACCATTACTCCCATAGAACTCGTCCCCGAATATCTGACTGTCCAGAAGTGGTAAGATAGCCAATAGTATGGCCACAATCCATACGGCGCCCATCGATAGCATGGCAAAGGTTTTTGTGCGCCGTTTAAGACTAAACGGATACAAAACCGATAGATATCTGTCGATCGTAATGATGGTTAGTGTGAACACCGAGGCCTCGCTGCTGATGGTGCTGAGTAGGCCACACAGGTTGCACTCCCAGCTCCCTCTCCACCGTTCCTCATGTCTAATGTATTCGCCTCTGAAGAGGTTGTCGTGGTATGCGATTATGAATAGGTATAAACTCATGAGTAGGTCGGCCAGTGCCAGACACACAGGTTGCACTCCCAGCTCCCTCTCCACCGTTCCTCATGTCTAATGTATTCGCCTCTGAAGAGGTTGTCGTGGTATGCGATTATGAATAGGTATAAACTCATGAGTAGGTCGGCCAGTGCCAGATTCTTGATGAAAAACGAGTGCACCTATACGTGGGTGATATACATGAGGGGTTGGACTCAATGGTTTCAATTGGTACTCAAAAAAAACTTTAGGAATTGTTTTCTCAATTCACAAATCAATTGAAAAGTTTTTATGTTATTTTGTTTTTGACTCAAAATAAAATGACAATAAATTAATGAATTCTTATTGGAAAAATATAACTGAATTTAATTTTTGTAATTTTATATATTTATTAATCAGTTTATAAAACAAAAATAAATAATTATTTTTTATTGTAATTTGGTGTTGATTTGTGTATTGATTGTACAGTGGATTACTAGTATGGAAAGGTCGGGGAACTCATACTTCATTCATCTCATGCATCATCATTCTGCCAATTAGTACGAATAGATTTCCGCCACAGGCTACCAGTGCCACAATCCATACGCTCACTCTGAGCACCACGTTATCCAACAGGTGCTGGAAACTACTGATCCCATCGCTTCTGGGCTCACATATTCTGACGTGCATTGCATACGAGCATAGCTTAAAGTCATCGAAATAACTGTCCACAAGAAATACACAATTGATTTATAGTAGAGTATTAATGTTGTGAATAAAACGGTAAAATATACTAACTTGGTACAATATTTGAATAAAATGAAATAAATTAATTTGAATTGAAAATTGAATTGAATATTTCAATAATATAGGTATAAAATTCTAGACCCTTTGTGTCATTTAAGTTTCAAGTAATATAAGTGAAAATTAAATTGAATTTCTAAATAAAATTATTATAGTATTTGAGTGAAAAATATGATAAAATATTTTTATTAGATTATGAATCCTATACTAAGCAAAAAATGAATTGAATTCTAAAATATAAATTACTAAATAACATGAATATAATCAATAAATAAAATATTTTTTTAATTAAAAATTCTGACATAAAAAAATTAAACACATTTTCTCCTATTGTATAAAATCGAGATCAATTAACTGATAAGAATTCAATAATAGATATCATAAAAATAAATAATATAATAAATGGCAAACAATGTTACGATGGCTTACATATGTGTGAGTGAAGTCAAGTTGTCGAATATTCCTGTGGGAAACTTACGGAATGGATTCCTTCTGAGATCACTGGGAGTTTATGGGAGGGAAATACATCTCATTTATTTTTATACAAGATTAATATTGTACTTATATATATTTGTCTTACAGCGATTCAATGTTGTAAAGCTTTGCGAATGAATTTGGACCAAACGTATGGATTTGATTATTGCTTAAATCACTACAAGAATTTGGTAATAAAAAATAAAAGTATACTATATTTCCATTTATATTAAACTGAATTGAATTGAATGTATGCAATGTTTTACTGTACATACAGCTTAAATAATGATTTTATGTCACCGAATGTGCCCTCTCCTACATATGACATGGAGTTTGCTGCCAATGATCTGTATATTAAATGACATAAATTAAACAGTTATTATTAAATAAGTAATACAATTCATACTGCATTTATTAGCCGATATAAATGTATAAATAATAATATAAAATTTTCTAGAACATAGCTGTATAATAGCTAACATTGTTTAGGTACTTAATACCGGTATAATTATAATCATTATAGTAAACAAATTGTTATGTATATTAATTAATTAAAATAAGTAGGAATACAATTATTAATAAGTTACCAAATCAACTTCCAACACAATTCAAAACATATAGTTTCAAGCTAAAATATTTATTTATAGAAGCATTTGGAATCTAAATTTTAGATCATTTCAGAAGATTATAATCTTAAATATTGTTTTTCTATTTGTAAATTACTACTTCTGATATTAGTATAGAATTGTAGTGAATGTTTGGGTAGGTTTCTATGTCTTTAATACGATATAAATGTATAAATCATTGACAACACACTAGACTCACATTGATCTGACAGAGTCGAGTCCCCAGAATATATCTTCCGACACGTATTGTATCTGATTTCTAGATAAAGACCTATAAAGACATTGTTATAAAACTTTCTAATATTATATTTATTGTATAATCAAAATATTAAGACTTACAAAGTTTCCAAATTCTGTAGACTAGAAAAGACATCATTAGGCAAACCGGTCAATAGGTTTCCGTCTAACCATAAAATAGTCAAACGTTTTAATGAATCAAATATCTGAAG